AGGACTTGAATTTGCTGCAGAGATAAAGAGGGAAGGACAAAGACTTTCCTAAAGCTCAAATGTTCAAATCAGTGAATAATGTAAGTAGGCTGTGAGGAATCAAGGCAGGACCAGGCATGCCAAAAAGAACACTGTCCAGCTCATGCTTTCAATTTTCCTACTTTTCAAAAAACGAGTTCTGAAAGTTTCGTCTTACTGTAAGTGGGGGAAAAGAAAAAGTAAATAGTGGTTTCTGCTCACTCATCCCCACTCTCCTTTCCATCTCTCTTGGCTTGAACAGTAACACCCTAAAAAAGAACTTATACTGTGATTTCATCCTAGGCTTCACTTTATGGACTTAACAGATCTCTTGGATCTTGCAGTTGGAGCTGTTAAAATTTCTCTGGAAGCTAAGAAGCCCAGTATTTCATGGAGGTTTCTGGTTAGTTTTTTTTCCTTTTAAACAATCTCTCAGATTGTTTCAGTCAACAGCCCAATGACCAAAACCAATAGTTTGTACCAAAGAAATACAACTCATCAGTTTGGAAAGATGGATGCACTGAAGCAAGCACCTTCCAAAATCCTGCTACAACTCTGTTTTGGAATATGGCATTGCTACCCTACACAGCCTAAGGAAATACAGTCACTGTGCCACTTCAGTCTTCACATGGGGTAAATATCCAGGGGACCTCTATTAAGACATTCTAGTAAACAGGGTTATGCCAGAACAGCATTCTGATCCTATTTTAGCACTCCTCTACGTAGGGGGACAGGAGATGGAACCACTGCCAGGACAAACCCCATAATCAGTTAGGGAAAGAAGGGAGGTCAAATTTCTGACTGGAGCCCATATTAGACTACTACAAATGAAACAAGTTAGTCAATATCAAACACTGTCAAACACTTGAAAGTCATCAAACAGTTGAGTAGACAACTTCAAAGCAACTTCAGAAAAATTTATGTAAACCAGAACCATTTCTGTGTGTTGCCCCCACAAACATATCAGCTCAAAAAATTTACCCTGTACAACTACACTCCACATGACTTTTTTCATCATCACCACCTCTACAAAAAAAGTGATTAGCCTTCTTAAAAATAAACCACACTAACCACAATGCTGACTTGCTGAAACATAGATAAGGATGAAAAAAAAGAATTTTCAGTTCAAGTTATATGAATACTTGGCCTATGCTATGAATAAGTAATGACAAAACAAAGTCACTTCAAAACACGAAGCCCATTAGAAACCTATTCAATCAGCTCATGTCCGTAATTAATTTGGAGCAAAAGAAACAAAGATACGCAAAGTCTGGTTGGGAACTCAGAAACTAAACGTGGAATTTGGCAACATTCACAGTCAGGCATGCCCAGATGTCTAATAAACCCAGGCAGAGGGACACAGTAATTTTTTCTCTAAAGAAAGTGACTTACTATGAGAAGATTTAAAACACTAAAAGCATGAGTAAAAAGATGTTGAGTTTTGCTGTGTGTGCGCACAATAACATCTCCATAATGAGAATACTCACATTACTCATTGTCTTGCTATTTCTACCATTTCTGACAACTTCTGGTAAACCTACTGATGGATCTCCTAGACCTTAACTCTTCAATGATTCCTTTAAGGAACACTATACGTGAGAACATACTCAGTGCTTAATTCGTGAGTGGTTGTTCTTTTTTGGTACCTAAGGCATTACTCGAGGTACTCATACAAATTTCAGAAAACAAAAATATGATAAATTCTAGTAATTTTCTCTAAATTCTATGGAGTGAAAAAGTATTTTAAGTAGACTGGGAGAACTTTATAAACTATTTGTTTTCCATATACTGTTCCATCTAGTATAACTGACATTCCACAGTTTTCTTTTAAAACAAAAAAAAATAAGTTAATCATGTTACAAACTACGTTTTTTAATGAGATTATAAGAACACTGTACTTCAGCAGCCAGCAGAAGAGGACCTAGAAGGGAAGAAAAAAGTCACTGTTTTTATAAGGCACTCTCTGAAAAGCAGATGTTGTGTCAAACAATAATTATAGTTCTGGGCTCCAGTGCCCATTGACAAAAGTGCAGAGAATAAAAATAGGTAAAACCAGAAAATGCTGAGTTTGAGATTTGAACTGCCAGATACACTTCTAAAATCTTGTATCAGTTCCCCTACATAATACCTGCAACAAAACTGTCCTGAAGCTGATGTAAGTAACACTCACCTGCAGTATATAAAATGTTCAGCTCATAGCTGAAGACAAATCATTCAGGGAGGAGTTTGAGATCCATTTTTTTTTTGGCCTTTGATTTAATATCAGCCACAAAGGATCCTTTTCCCATCTTGAACAACAATAAATTTCAAAGGTATTTTGGCACAAAAGGAATGCAAGACTCACAAATAATTGAGTCTTATTAATTAACATATAGTTACACAAGCCCATCTTTTTCATAGAACAATTATAGATCCTTTCCAAATTGTAACTCCAGCAATTCATGACTGGAAAGAATAAGACCCTCATAATCCTGAGAATCTATTTAATGATATGGTCCACTCCTTTCATGTTCATAAGCTGAGTTGCACCTACCAACAAATGAATATTCTCTAAATCCATGCATCTGGAAAAGAGCAAAGCTCTAAACCTAGATACAAAAGCACTACTAAACTTGCCATTTATCAGAAAGCTAACAGTTCAGGCCAAATACCTTATTCATGCTGACGTCTACAAGATTAATTGTATGAGCTACCCTTATTTTGGCCTTCAAATAATCTAATCCAGTGTTCCACTGAAAACATAAAATTCCAAACTCAAGTGTAGTGATCAGTTTAAAACCTATACTCTGTTTGCCAAGGCCACTGATGATGTTACATAATAAGAACTAAAAATTGTCCAAATGTAACAAGAGTTATTCTCTCACGAAGTTCAAAACTTTCTGCCAACTCTCAGCAGTTACCAGTGGAACACCTGACTAAAAACATTCACAGCACAAAAACCATATAAATTGAGTAATTAACTTGAGAATGGGAATTTAGTCTTTTATCTCTCTCCACCTGACCCTAATTTGAGCCAACTTCTGTTGATGTATTAGAAAGAGAGGTTTAGCATTGAATTCAGAAGGCACTGAAGAAAAAAACCATGCTCACAACCTTCATTTGGTCTACAGAATTACCTTAAGATGCTAAAGTAGTACCAATAAAGATACCAATAACATTGGTTCACTTGGTGTCTGACTGCCACAGCAGAAATAACATAATGCTATCTTGCAGAGTAGAGTAGAAAGTTTTGTGGCTCCGATTCATATCTGAGCAAGTTTGTTTGCATGCACTTCCTTTCCTGCATCCTCTTTCAAAGCATTTCACTTTGGAGGTTGTTTTCATCATTAAGTTGTAAGTGTGCATCCACAGTGAAGACAAGTATTTGGAGATCCTCATAAGCAAAGACACGTTTTCTGTTCTTTAGTTTAATTCAACAAACACATCACTGGTCACCCAGCAGAGGAACAACTGCTGCTTGTTTCCCCCACGGAAACAGTTACAGGAGTATGCTTTCCAGCTTAGGCATAACCTTAAACTTTAAAGCTTAAGAGCAGGAATATCAGCTTATGCAGCTCTTGTCTAATGATGATCACTGCTAGCCTACGCAAGCAAAAGGGAGAGACGTGTTCCGAGTAGAGATACGTAACACCAGCTTTACTTTTTCAGCACGTGACAGAGCTGAAGACCCAACTAATTTGCTTGGGGATTGAATAAACTTAGATCTGCATGTAGGAGGTTGTAAACTCTATTTTGGCTCATGTTGAAGCTCATTCTATCACACCTTCAGCATTACTATAAATTATTTAAGCAGGGAGGTTGGACCAGATGACCCACAGTGGTTCTTTCCAACCTTACTGATTCTGTGATTTCATACAAGTCAAACCCATTCCGGGCTTGTACAATTATACGTTTAATTTGCTGCATTAGCGCACCTTGAACTGGTTTACATACATTTCTTCCACATATCCACATAAATCAATGCAAGACAGTAACACAGTAAAAGCAAGAGTTCAGTGCTGTTATAAGTACTATCCACGAATGACAAAACGTATACACTTGCAAAGCAAAAATAAACTCAATCGAGAAAGGATGGTTCCAATACACTTTGCCAGTGGATGTGACAAAACCCCAGACAAATAAACCCCTTAAAATAGTTATTGTGCACAAAAGGTGACTTTGAAGACATCTTACTTTCAGTGATGTAGGTTTCCTTGCAGAACACATATGAAAGAAGCAGGAAAAACTTTTAAGCTGAGTATATTCACTGCACCCGTTCCCACAGACAACGCGTGTGAGAGCAAACCCCAATCCAGCCGAGCAGAACAGTCCCCAACGGGACGCTGCCCTGGTGCTTTCATAAACCCCGTTCAAACCCTACTGACGCGTCCGCCAAAATAATTTCCTTTTTAGGCCGGTTTAAACACGTTACTGAAATTTTCTCGCCGTTGACTGAGCGCTTCAAAGACGACTGGAAAGATGATGGAAACCTCCCCGCCGGCAGCACGGAGAAATGTACCTGGTAAGCAGCGCGGTGCCCTCAGCACGGACTCCGGGCGGGCTCTCGCAGCCCCTCAGCGCAGCCTCGGCCCCGCACCGGCCCCGCGCGAGTCACAACGGCCCCGCAGCGCCCGGACCCCGCCCGCCCTCCCTGCCCTGACCCCCCCGGGCCGGCGACACCCGCAAGTGCCGCTCCGAGAGAGGGATCCGTGACTAACCAGGAGCCGCGGGGCTGCGCCGCTGAGATCGGAGCTCCCCGACCTGCCCTCCCTTCCTCCCTCCCTCCCTCCGCCCGCCGCCCCCGCCGGACCCTCCGCCCTCACCCCGCTCGTCCCTCCGGGCACGGTGGGCGGCAAAGCGCAGCCCCGGGAACCGCACCTCTGGCGCCGGACCCGGGAGCCGCTCACCTCTGCCCGGCTCGGGGCGACTCCCACCCCCGCAGCCCGCCGGGCTGCCGCTCCCTCCTCGCCCTCGGGAGCCCCGCGAGCCGAGCAGCCGCTCACCTGGCGCCGGGCGACCGCCCGTCCCGTCCGTGCCGCCCGTCCTGACCCGTCCCGTCCCGTCCCGTCCCGTCCGTGTGTCCCGTCGCGTCTCGTCCCGCCCCGCTCGCTCAGCGCTGGGCACAGCGGAGGCGGCCCCGGCAGCTGTGGCCGCCGCTGGACAGGGGGCGGAGGCAGGCGAGGGAGGTGCTGCGGGAAGCCGAGGGAACCCGGCGCGGTGGCGGAGCCGCCCAGGAGCGGCCCCCGCGCCCCCTCGGCCAGGCGGGCTCGGCCCCGGCCCCGCCCGGCGGCCCCGCGGGTGCGGGCGGTGTCCCGGGAGCTGCGGGCAGCGCCGGAGGAGAGCGGCTGGCCCGCGGCAGGCTGGAGGCAGCGAGCAGTAAGCAGTGAGCGTGGGGACACCGTGCCCGGACACAGCAAACTCGGGCGGACGGAGCTACCACTCCGAATAAACTGTTTCAAATTATTTGATGGGCAACGCGTTAAACCAGCCTTTTTTTCTTGTGTGATTCACCCTTAAAACAGATTTAAGCTACCTTAAGCCCTAATGTAAAAGTAGTTTTTCAGAATTAGCAGCCTTCTTTTAATTTCAGTAAGATCGATACCTTCAAGTGGTAGTGTAAATGAACTTCGTAAATTGTAAATTGACTTGGCTACCAGGCCAGCAGAAAGCTGAAGCTGTGGCCCTCCTCTTCCCCTTTTTAATTGCTAGGAATGAAACATATTCTGAAAATGCAGCATTTTCAGTGACTTATTTTATACCAAAATGTTTAGGAACTACTCCCTGCATGTGAGGGGAACTTTGGTCACTAGACACTGCTGAGGAGAGCCTAGCTCCAGGGCATAGCTGGGGAAAGCACATCCAGAGGGAAAGACAGGAGCTTTAGGCAACAACTCTTATCAGTGTTACTGAAAAGATAAGACGGGCTAATTCTACCAACTCCATAGACAATAGGTATTCCTGAGGGTACAGAGTGTGATGAGTCCACATGATGAGCATAATTTTGTAGAGGAAGTTCTTGTAAAGAAGAGCTGGTGGTTAGATGAAGAGGCTTGTTTCATTTTGCTTACGTCAACCGTGTCTTTGGATGCTTTGGAGCTGGCATCTAGTGGAACACAAGGCCAGTGCTTTTGCAGTTCCTCACATAGGAAAAACTGGAGACATTTTTCTTTCTCTGCCTTGCTTAGTGGAATATATTTCACTTCCCCAAAGGTTTAAGGACCATAAATGGTGTTCTCTTCCTAGCTTATACCACCTGTGAGAATTATATCTCCTTCTCCTTCACTTCTGATCTGGATGTCTGAGGTCAGTGATGTGGCTTAGTGGTGTCTCCACAGAAAGGCTAAAAAGTTGAATGATGTTGGAAACTGAAGTCCAGCTTACCCCTAGACACCTTACCTGTTGGTAATGCAGGCTTAGGAAACTTTCTGTGTTGCTTGTTATGTGAATAGTTACCACTGTACAGGTGAAGGGAAGTTTGCCTCTGTCTACCCACCAGCTCTGACAAATGATATATTCTTTGGGATAAAAATCAGCTGATTGCTGAATTTTCAAGCACTGAAACATAATTGTGGGCAGGAGGAGTTACTTCAAAATACCTGTTCTCTTTCCTCTTAGACCAAGTTCATTTACTATGAGAAAATACTGTGTAATTTACAAAACTACTTTTTACTCTACCTAATTTATATCTCTGATTGTTTATTTAAACTGTGTATTACACATAACTGCATAGTGTCCAGTAACATACAGAGAAACTAAACAGAATTGATCTGTAATGACCTAAAATCCCAAACTAAGTTAAGAACTTCATTCCCAGTGTACTTGTACAGCTGTGCTTTGCTGGAAAAGTCCCTGAAATCTATGTATAGTCACTCAAATACCGGTATGCCATCTGTACAGTTCTAGGACTACACAAGATCTGGCCAGTGTTGCATGGAAGCCAAACTCTTACGCACTTACCAAGAAAACACAGAATTGAGCAGGTCTGAGGAACAAGCATGAATAACTGAATAATAAAAACTTTTCAATCCCACAAGTTTGTTATGTTTTTGAGAAAATGCCAAAAAAAAAAAAAAAAAAAAAAGCTTGTGCTAATTCAGGTTGCTCAATGCCTCCTTTATTGTGTGCTTGTGCAATACTGAACACTGGTTTGGTAGGAATAGCAGGTGAGAAATGCAGGTTTAAGAGAACAATCCTACCTTTACGAGAAGGAGTCAAATCTTCTCTCCCCAGACAAAATGAACATATTAAAATATCTTAAGTAAAATTAATAGTTTCTGGATCTGGAAGTCTCCAAAAAATGGGAGCATGGATACCATAAAGTGGTGTTGAAATAAAGTTTTGCCATGCATCCTCCTAGTGGAGAAATACTATATTTCAAGGTTTTAACAATTAAAGAATTTTATTTTCACCTGTGTTCAACCAGATTGAATGTAGAAACCCCAACGACTCCAGCAAAGTCAGGGTCTAAATTCTCATTAACTTCATCTTAACCAGAATTTCATATTATACTTTCTAAGTTGTTGGGATTTATCATTATTTTTTATTTAAATTCTTTCTCTCTTTATTTATTTATGTATGTGTATACATGTTTCCCAGGGAGATTAGACATTTCTGTGTCATATTGTGGTACTTATTTCATGTCTATCATTTATTTATCCAAGTGGAATTTGTTCTGATGATGTAATTCATGTCTCAGTAGGAAAAAAAACATATGTAACCAGTAAGGGAAAGGGGAGAGTGGAGGTAGTGGGAGTAATAAGGTCTGTTTGCCTTTTCATTTATACTGTAAAGGTTTAATGTTGTTTCACAAAGATGCTTGTCAGGACAGACTTGTCCTGTTCTTGCTTCTCCCTATTCCTTCACTATCTCTAGTGGGCGGGATTGGAGGTTGCTTTGCCCTGGGATGTGTATATGGTCAATCCCAGGGAGCATAAAGTTAAGAGAACGACCGTTTCAATGAATCACATTAACATAACACCTTTTATGTCAAATCTAATTGTTCTAAAATCAAAGCAAAAAAGACCTCATGATAATTTGCATGACATTTTGTAGGGTTCTGTCTTCTTCTTTGCCGTGTTACAGGTTTCTGTGAACACCAGAAACTGATTGAAGGTACAAAAAGCAGTTAAAATGGTTACAATTCTCTGCTTCATATATAAATATAGTCCTTCCCCAAAATCACTCATGTTCTATTCTATAATCTCATGTAGTAGTTATGAGTCATGTAAATTACAGATAATTAGGTAAAAGGTAGCTTAGGTGTTTTTTAACTGGTGATAACACTGAAGAATAAATAAAATCATGTATGAGTCCTTCAGTCTATTTTGTGCTTTCAGCATTACAAAGACCTAAACAATGACTGAGCAATTTTAGGACAGGGAAATGATGTGGACTAGTTGTGATGCTGAAAGGATTTAAACATATCAAGGGAGGAGGATCTAAAGTCTAATCTTAAAACTGCACATACTAGGCACAGAGTTGAGAACTTTATTTGTGAGAAAGAGGCTGCCTTGTTAAAAATTTGTGCATGACCAATAAATCTGTATCTTGCAAAAGAGTCCTTGGAGTAGATACATGTATCTAACATTCTAATAGGATAACTACTTATTAATATTCTCTTGCCAGAAAGTAGCATATAGGTGTGGGTACCATGAGCGCAGTGTTTGCTGAATGTTGACTGAACCAACATGTAAAAGAAATCTCTTAGATATGTAATCATTAAATAAGGAGGTTTAGTCTATCCAGCTGAGGTTTTTACACATGTTGTCAAATACTAACTACAACACCCAGGGTAAGATTCCCTTTCGACTGCAGTAGTTTCTTCATTTAAAAAAAAAAAAAATAAATAAAAAATAGAGTCTTACCTACTGAAGGTACAGGAAGGATATTAAAATAGTAATAACAAAATAGTAATAACAAAAAAAAATCTGTATTCCTGTGGTTAACGTCTAAGCCTCACTTCACTAATGAAATTTCACTTCTTGTGTCATTACTGATGACAAGTGGTATTTATGTTCATCCATGTTATTTGGCCCTACTGAATGTTGCAGGGTCTTGCTTGCAAACACACAGCCATGTCATGTCAGACTGTGTTCCAGCTCGATGTCCCTATTGCATTTACATTCCAAAATGGGATAAAGGTGGAAGGCAATTTGTTAGGTACTCAGGCCAAAAGAAATGAGAAATCTTTGCTACAGTTTTCTTAAACAAAATTTCGTGTTCTTTACACAAAGAGTGAATGATTATATGTAGCAGCAGGATGAGCATTCTGTTCTGTTGGGTGATCAGCCCATCAGTAATACCCTCTGCATATGTTTCCATGCAACACTCCATTCTGTGGAGTTGAGAGGCTTCACTATTACCTGTTGGAGTAAAAAGTGAATGGAGCACAAACTGAAATGCAAGAAATTCAATTGAAACATAAGAAAAAGATTTTTTATGGTGATAGTCATCAAACACTGAGCAGGTTGGCCAAAGAGGTTGCGGAGTCTCTACCCTTGAAGATGTTCAGAGGGCAGGATACAGTCCTGGTCACCCTGCTGCAGCAACCCCTGCTCTGAGCAAGAGTTTGGACTGGACTATCTCCAGAGATGCCCTCCAGTCTCAGCCTGACTGTGACACTGTGAGAAGAAAATGCTGCTAACACTCTGCTTTCCTTTAGAATAAAATACCCTTTTGCCAAGCAAAGGAAAATGATCCTCAAATTGTAAAAAACTTGAGGTCGGCAAAAGGCTCACATACCCCAAAGCCCAGACCGAGGTGCTAATCAACATTATGGGAAACTACAAGGAGGAGTTGCCAAGAAAAGCAATCTGAAGAGAACACCTGGAGAGGACAATTAAACCTTTCAATGCTCTGTTTATGGCACTCAATCTCTAAAGTGTACTGACATTTGTATTTTCATTAAAAAAAACATTTTAAAAGAGTTGTAACTTGTCCATAAAAAATTAAGTCTGTGTGGATCTTGGCAGGCAAATTCTCATTCTGGGAACATTTCACATTTTTACTTTTCTTTTTTTGAAACTTAGTTTGCAAAAAAAGCTGTGTTAACCTCTG